TCCTGTAAACAGCTCAGAGGTGTATTCTGACAGTTTTCCAATAAGGAAAACAATTACAGACAGGGAATAATATGCCCAATTGTGTTGAGAGAAGGTCCATTATACTTCCATTCCAGTATCCATCATTCATGAACATTACATATCTGGTATATTAATGCTACATTAGAATTATTATTTGAAGACTTTACAGACCAGTATTTTATAATCAGTTAAAATGCCTTAACCAATTCTGTTCCCCTCTCCTAATTACAGCTAAGAGAAGCTCCATAGAATAATTCTAGAAGCAGATAGTTCTGAACATCATTTGTTTGGATAAAATATGTAGTCATTTTAAATGCTGATAAACCTGGATTATTATTCTGTTAATGTTGCTAGTGCTTATAGGTTATTATGACTATATATTTCATCCACATGTACAGTATCCATTATTAAGCTTCTCTTAGAATGTATTTCACAGAAGAACCAGATCTGCATAGGACATTTCGTCTGGGGAACAATATTTCCCCTAAAAACTGTATTAACAACAACAGATCCAGTAATAATATGTTTATAATATTTGTGTTAGTCAATAAAGCAGTATTTATTATAAACATAGTGATTTTTAATTGCAGTAATCAAGCTATTGTGTTACTTATTTAATTATTTATTTATTTTACGTGTCACACGATGCCAAGATAAACACAGCATAACTGAGATTTCGTAATATACATTATTTTTAATTCGAGTAAACAGTAAACAATCGTACTGATAAATACTTTTGTACTGTTCATTACCAACTGGGTGAAAACACACGGCTGTTCAACCTTTTTTTTTTTGCTTTCTGTTCAGTAAATGCATGTGGTCGAGGACCTGATTTGTCAAAGGGAACATGAATTTGAGGGGGAACTGAATCGGATACGGAATCGGATCTGAAATGTAACGACCTCTCTCTGCTGGTAATTAGTTCTGTTCTGTTATCGCCGCTCTAACATTTATCACGGAAAATCGTATCGCGATAATGATAAAAATACAGTTTATTGTGCAGCCCTAGTGGGTGGGAAAAATAACATTAACCTCTAATATCATGTTTCACCTCCTCCTACCGCCACCCACACCTATCACAGAGCAAACGCTCACTTGATGCATATTGCCTTCTCCTTTCATCATGTCCTAACGGATCCTCTGTGAAGATGACAACAAAGCTTTAGAGAAGTATTGTGTAAAACCTAACCCTCATTTTTTTCACTCTCTTGTTAACATTATATAATGTTATTAATTGAACATAGAGAGCCAGGGATCAGGCCTCAGGTCATTCTACCTGCACAGTTATACAACAGCACAAGTCCAAAGAGCGCCGAAAAATCAGGCCTGGCCCCCTGGCCCTGTGCCCTGATCCTTTAGCCCAGCAAGGACTGAACTGAAAGCTGCCCCATAAGGCAAAGAGATATACTGATAAAAAAAAAATTGCACATTTTCCCCTTACCCCAAATGGAGGCAATCAAACAGGACATGTTTGGTGCTTTAATTTAAATGACAACCTAAAATTGATGTTTTTATTAGCTTGTTAGCTACCTTGCATGTTCCTGGTTAATTAAGCACAGTTCATCATAACGTACACAGCAGAATACTAAATTCTTGTTTTTCTGTAATCGTTCTGCAAAATGTGTGGACTTTTTCCTGCCTCGAAAATGTCTTCTAAGTTTTGATTATGTCATCGCGCACCAGTGGCTGGGAAAAATAATATTAACCAATTTTATTCATTTATTTTTTCAGTTTAAGATAACTAATAGATTTCGGTTTAACTTAGGTGATCGCATTTTTAAGCATTGTTCAAGTTGCTTACTTTAAACTCAAAGACAATATCTGTTACTACAGTAGCATCACTATGAAGTTCCAAAAGTTCTCAAATGCTCAACCAACCAATCTCTCTTCTTGCCTAAATTTGAATCACTTTTCCAATCCTTATGTCAATCGATTTTTAAATTATTATATCCAGCTTGCCCTGCGATTGTCTCCAGCCCCGCGCGCGACCCAGAAGGATAAGCGGCTTAGAAAATGTGTGTGTGTGTGTGTGTATCCAGCTTTCTGTAGATAAAGTTATGGATGACGGACTGGTGTTCCGTCTTGTGTATGTGGTTCTGAATGTGTACATGTTAAATTTGTTAAAGTATTGTTATACTGTCAGTATTAGTGCTAAGCGTTCAGGTCAAGCCATCAAAGACGTCAATTATGTGTAAAAAACCAGCAGATGTGTTCCATTTCTAACAGTGGACTGACACCTGATTAGACTACTGCTTGCATTTGCGGTCAGTGACGTGTATAGGATTTCGAGAAGGCCCAGAGTGAGGTGTTCTCACAAAATTGGTTCCTCCGATTGTAAATTAAAACATGACTGGTTGATTACACTGTCAGTTCCTAAGTACATTACTGGTTAATCTGATGTGTTAGGCCTTCAGTCCAGCTCCTGAAGTCCTAACCAATGGGAGAGTTAGCTTGGCTGCCTCTAACCATATATCAAAATCCTGACTGGACAATTTTCCATTGGGCATTTCAAGAATTTAAACACTTTGTTTCCAACCAAAACTTAAACATGAAATGGGAGTAGCACTACAGTACTTGCAGAGTTTAATTACAACAAGCATGATGAGTGTAATAAAAAAAAGTTCACAGAAATCATTAGGCCTACTCCAATGGCCTAGAAGGCCCTGAGGGATCATTGCTCAGTATTATAACAATGGACAAAAGTATGATGCATTGCTAAAAACAGTAGTAGCAGCCATCTTTAAGCCAGAAATTTGTCTGTACTTTCGTCCATTTTTATAGACAACAGTTTGTCAAATAGAAAACACATAAGCAAGTCTATTTGAGATGACTTAACAAGTCCACATGGTTTGTTATGATTTAGGGACATGGCCTGCATGCTTTACTCATGACTAAGTGCTATTATATGTTAGCTCCAAACATGTCTTTGCTGACTGACTACATTTGGGATAAGTGGAAAATTGGGAAAAGTTCATTTTTGGCCTAACCATGTTACACTGTGGAACCAATTCTGATCAAAAAGCCTTACTGATAATCTCTTGTTCAGTCCTGTACAAATAACATGCTCGATTTTGTATAGCCAACCATTATATTTGATGATGATAATTCATTTTGTACATACATGATCAAAGACACATTTGTTGCAGCAGATGGTGGAAAGCGGCAAAGTGACCAAATTTTAACAAAGCTTCCACACAAAGAGAACATCAGTGAAGGCATATAATGATATTATGACCCCACCTTGTGGTAAAAATGTATTTCAGCTCAAAGTCCAAGTGTTGTAGCTTTCCAGAAGCTCTTCCTTTGTGTGCCAACCATTAGTATGCAGAACCACAAAACTGCTTCAGAAACGCACTCATATGGTCCCTCTTTGTCTTCATGCATGTATTTATAGAAGAAAGTACTCATTATTTACAGTAATCAGCAAGCACAGTGGACATGATAGCTGCTATGAATGTGTCTGACCTGCAGAGAATGCTCACTATTGTCAGAGCAATATATTACATTATGGGTAATGGGAGCATTTTTGGGACATGACTGACGGTCTTCATGGGTCAGGGTTTGCTTTTTAGGCATTCTTACAGATTTTTCTGTTCAATTGCTAGAATGCAAGAAGTGATGCAGAGCTGGTGTGGCACGCTGTCAGAGACCTCGATACAAGGCCATCCTGAGGAAGGAGGGGCGAAAAAAAACGTGCTTGTAACATTTCTTTTCTCCAGTGTCACCATGGCCCTGCTCCCTTGTTGCTTGGCAACCCCCTGCTCCCGCAAAACTCCCCTCCACCTCCGGCAAACACGATTGACTTTCACGATTAAAGATCACGTAAAGCCCACACAGTACCACTTGGACAGGTGCTAATTTATATTTATAATGACTTCTTAATAACTCTAATATTTACCAAAATACAAAACTGGGAGCTAAAGCTTTAAAAACAGCATAGAAAGCTCATGATGCTTATTCCACATGAGGATACAACTAAATAAAACTAGGAGGTCACCTAATGCATAATAATGTCAAATAGCTGCAAGCAGGAATTTGCAGGGGCCAAGTACCATGTGGTGTGGTGAACTTGGACATCTATAAAACTCGAAATAGCATTTACAGAGCACCATGCAGGGAGTATAGGGAATCAGAGTCAGGACACTTAACTGTGTGGGCACTTAACTGTGGCTTAGAGGATACAAAGACTTTATTGTCACAATGGCACAAAGCGTTCATGCCCTGAATATCCTTGGCCTATTATGGGTATTCAATGTCATACAGATTTGGGAAATGATTAGGTAATTTGTCCAATTTCCACAATTTACAGCATTTACATACAGTTGCCTAATTTTTGGACAAGTTTAGTCTTAAATAGTTTTATCTCTCCAGACTTGGCAGGCTCACAGGGTTTAAGTAACATCAAACATTTTGAAGTCTTACTCACATATGCATAGATAGATAGATAGATATATAGATAGACAGACAGACAGGCAGGCAGGTAGAGTTTTCTGCTGCCATGTAGGGATGTGGATTTCCAGCAGAGATGTACAGTTACCATTTGAAATACTTATTTGTGTGTGGCGTACATAAAGCTAGAAAAGTGACTCAACTTTGTGTTCACACCTCTCAAAGCCAAGCAATGCAATCATGACATTTTTTGACACAACACAAAGTTACATGCAAGTGCACATGACATTAAAATGGAGGAACTGGCCATTTATAACAGCTCACTGAAAAGTCAATATGGTTTATGTCCATAGTGTTGGTGTAGTAGACAAAAAGCACAGAATTCTGTGTGATGTAATTGTTGTTGTAAGCTTGATATATTAATTTTTAGGCATTTTAACATTTAAAATAGGATTAAAACAAACAGAAAACATAGCATTCAGATTATTCTGAATGGAATATTCAGATTCCAGTGCAATTTGTGTTTACCCTATCAAGTTGTGTCCCGTTTCATCCGGTAGGTGGCAGTAAATCTCTCTGTTAGCCACCGCTATAACAAAGAAAAAGACGAGGAAGTGTCTTTACACGACCGTTAACGTGAGAATTTTGTTTTTGTTTATACTTACATTTTTGTTTTTTCTTGTCTGAAGTGGAGACTTGTCGCATTTCGCCACAGTGGCTTCAAACAAGGGCGAATTCTCCTCATTCAAAGGGAACCGTCATCTAAAATCAGGGCAAAGCAGCTGCTTAACTTGCTAGCTGCCACTAGCCACTGCTAGCTAGCATAATACAGCCTAACTGTTTAATGTAGTTTAACGTTAAATATGGCAGAAAACACGAACAGCGCTGCAAATCTTCCTCCGGGAGATCCGCAGCTCATCGCCCTGATCGTAGAGCATCTGAAGAACCGAGGCTTGTTTGACGAGTTTAGAAGAGACTGTCTGGCAGACGTGGACACTAAGGTGAAAAGCAGAGCTAACTTACCTGAGGCTAGCATCATCTGAGGGAGTGGGGTGCTTTATTTATATTTTCACAAAGAAAGAATTCCCTTTCACCTTGGCTGACATGGAATCATACTAACAGGCATAACACCTATTGTACACTTTCCCCCCCAAAAAAATCAGTGAATCACTGAATAATAAGAGATTTAGCACCTGTGAACAGTACTAGTGCTAATATTTCTAGTAGCAATAGTACTATTAAAGGGCCATATACTAGACTCCTGAGATCCATGTAAAATGTTTTTGTGGTTTTATTTAACAAAAACCGTCATAATTCATTTTCACAACATCATTTCATAACCTCTTTATGCTTTCTTGTTACTGTACATGTTTTACATATGTAAATCTGCTCTTTTATGATTGGCTGCTCTGCGTTTAGCCTCATTCAAAAAGCAGTCTGAGTTGAAATACTCCTTATAACTTCAGCGTGAATGGGCAGATATATGTAAATATGTTGGTTTTCGTATCACAAAACAATGAACATTGGAACTAAATTAGTTTAAAGTTAGCTGTCCTCGTTGGTATCAATGGCCAATTTATTCCATTACATGAAGCATAAAACCTTCAAGGAAATTCCTTAAAGGGTTTGCTACACAACAATGTAAAATTATGCCTCAGAAAGAAAGTTAGAGAAGTTAGCTAGCTTGTTTGAAACTCGGAAATGTGCAGGGCATGGTTACTCCAGGTCTAGAATTGAGAACCACTTTCATAGTACCGACCTGTCCGGGGTGTATCCTGCCTTCCACCCAATGGCTGCTGGGATGGGCTCCGGCTCCCCCCCAGGACCCAGAAGGATAAGCAGCTTAGTAGATATGTGTGTGTGTGTGTGTGTGTGTGTGTGTGTGTTCATTGTACCTTTGCTACAGACGTGCAACTCCGGCTGTTCTTGATTCCTTTTATTTCACTTCCAGTGATGAGAAAATGTTGATGTAACATATGGTTATTGCTTTCTCACGAGTGGTGAGCGTGCTTTGTGGCCCTGCATGTCTGGCGTGGATAATAACTGCTTCTCTGTGCTCGCTTTTGAGAATAGGTTTGATTACGTGATGTTATCAGAGTTCATTAATTTATCTTTGATTTTTCATTAGAGGAGAAATAACTTCAATAGCTGTGTGAAGTTCTTGTAGAATCAGACTCCATAATGGTCCTTGGACTGTCATGTAAGATTTGTTTATGTATTCTTCCTTTTTTGTTTCTTCACCTTTCACACTGAATAAAATAGCATTTTTGGGGGTAATGCAGAAGGCATCTTGTAGGATTGTTGATCTTTATAAAAGATAGGGTAGGTGTTTTATGTTATTCGTTTGTTGAAAGAAGTATTGTGTATTTTGCGAAGCACATATTTATTGAAAGACTACTGGCCCCACTTTTTCTTTTCCCAATTAATTGATTAATCAAAGCCATAATGAACAATCTATCAGTTATGGAAATCAGCATTAGATGCAGCCCTAGTGACTTCTGGAAGGACACTGTTTTTTGAAAGGTCTAGTCACTGACAGCGAAGTGTCTCACACTTTGTGTGCGTTCAGACTCATCTCTGCGTGGAATCGAGTCCAAAGCTTTTGAGTCGACTCATGATTCCCACATGCCTTAAGTCTGAGAATTGACTCTTTTTGGGATTGACTCCCAGCCCTACATGCAACACCTCTTTAATGTGGCTATATGTTTACCTAATAAACTGTCTCCCCTTTACCAGCCAGCTTATCAGAATTTGAGACAGAAGGTGGACAACTTTGTCGCGAATCACCTCAGCACTCAAGAATGGAGTCCGTCAATCAACAAGAACCAAGTCCGTAATGGACTGCGACAAAGTGTAGTGCAGTAAGTCACTCTGCTGTTTCTGATGGACTGAAAAGGTATATTCTCAAAGAGAAATTTGTAAGATTATTAGGTTTATTTGGTATATGGTAAATATATTAACACTCTCAAAGTTACCTTTTTATAAATAGGCGTAAAACAACATGTCTACTTTTTATGTAGGTCTGGGATGTTGGAGTCTGGAGTGGACCGAATTATAACCCAGGTGGTGGATCCCAAACTGAACCATATCTTCAGGCCCCACATTGAGAAAGCCATTCACGATTTCCTGGCCTCAGACAAGAAAGAGGATGGGGCATCAAATTCAACCGCTGAGGCCGACCAGCAAGATGCCACCAGCAGCAACACCACTCCGAAAACACAATAAGGTAGAGGTTCATTCTGAAAGTATGTCTGCAAAGCTGGAACAGCCCGTTACCATATTGCACCGACTGACTGTGGGAGGTAGTTAGTTACGTGCTAAGCAATATTGAGAACTAAAGTAATAGTTTGATGGAAAACTGTGTAAAAGTGATTTTACATTTACTCTATATGTAATCAATTAGCCAAGGCATGTTTGGAGTCCAAATTTTGCTTTTTTAGTTTTAACTGGAGCGTGAGGCTAACATTGTTAGTAGAGCTTAGTAGTCACCCAAACAGCCCAAATAGTTCCACCAAAATGGCTCTTAACCTCCTTATTCACATTCCGATCTTGACTAAGGTCACTCAGACTAGTCTACATGTTTCAGGTGACAGTATGACTTACTGCGAACTGTAGAAGTTAAATTTTCACCACAAGTTTTCATCACTGGATGCGACTTAAGTTTTGGTGATGTAGTTATAGAAATGATTTAGGTAATTTTGAGTCCTAGTGCTTGTTAGCAACAATAGCCTTGCAGCTCCAGTTCTAAACTAAATAACAGAATTTGGACTCGTGGCTGACCAACTACATCTAGGGTTAATCAAAAACTGTATGAATGAGATTTTTTTGCTGAACTGTTCCTTTAATGTAACCGAATCTATCACACTATCATGTTGTTGTGTCCTTGGGTTTTTTCCAGTACAGTCCAGGTGCCATGTGATCCTGATGGATGGAATATACGTGGAGTATCAACAGACTTATACTGAGGAAATACTCCCATACTGGAAATGTACTGCATGTTTGGGAACATGCTCAGACTTCTTGTAGTACAGTCCTTTTGTGTACGAGCATGTAAAACATGAGAAGGACATGTTGTTCAGTCTATGCACTATATCAGTGTCACTATGAAATCATCCGTGAATGCGAACACAGGTGAAAGAACTGAATAATTGGCCAGTTGAAATGAAATCATTTCATTAATAGAATTGTTTTTGCGAAGAGGAAACTGAAACCATTCAATCTGACTTTGTGAATTGCTTCCTTTTTCATTAGATTGTAACAGGGTACGTTTTTACTAATAAACAGTACTTAATAGGGGAAATGCCTACATCATTGTATCATTTCTGGATTTGTATTTCTTCTACAAGTATTGCAACAGATTCTGTTTTGTTGTGGGGAAACACTCTTCATAATGACTGGCTCGTGGCCTGCTGCTGCTGTTTTTTTTTCCTGGATTCCTATTAGTGATGACATTCTAGGGAAGAGGGAATCTTCTCTGGCATTTTTGTGATTCCAATTGGATGTTAAGCAGAGTGAGTGCCCACAAAAGTTCACTGTGTTCCATCCGATGCAGACGTGGTGTAAAGTGATGGGATCCGTTTGGAAGTGAAAGCTTTTGACCCGCAACGTTTTGAACTATGATAAGGGCTACCAGCAGAGGGCTTCATTTATTCATTCTTTTTTTTTTTTCTTTTTGTAATGGAAGAGATGCACTGTGTTCCTGGATTAGGACAAAGGTCTACAAGTTCGGCTTGTTTCTGTCTTTCAGCATCTCTCTCCTGAGAATGTGGAACACAGTCAAATGCCGGAGACAGACATTGGTCTGCTACATTTGGCAGTAATGTGTCTTATGCCATACACTGGGTGTTGGAGTAAAGTGCTTTTTTTGGAATGTGTCTAAAAAGTGATTAACTTTACCTGTAATAGAGGGTATTCCTGATGTTTCCAATCACCTCCCCTTCCCCAAAAGCTGGAGACAATAGCTTGTTATCTTGTTTAAAGAATTAAACCCACAATTGAAAAGTTTGTGTTAATCCTCCACAGTTTCCAAAATATATATATTATTTCATCTTTCTATCTTGAATTGTTTTAAAGGGGAAATCCAGCACAAACATTTTCTCCTATAGACTTCTATTGGGCATAGAACAAAATAGTGAAAAATTGCATTAAGAAATTAATTCACCTTAATATGCCTTTACCATTAATGCAGCGATGCAGTAAACCAACAATTATGCTGTTATTTCTTAATTTTTGGTTCCTTAGTTTATGGTTAAGTCCTGGTGAAGAACAACACATCATTTGAAAAATCAGTGAACATGTGTAACAAACAAAAACAGCTAAAATACTATGTCAGTTTAATATGTGATTTCACGTGGAACTTTATTGGTAAGGACATGTTTGTTGGTTGTACAAGACCAATTTGTACCCAATCTGGATGCAGTTCTTTACCTTGTAGAAGCCTATAGGAGGTCATTTTTAGGGATGCTCAATGATATTTGAATCATATCAGTATCAGCAGATATTTGCATAAAAAAAGATATTGGTATCAGAAAGATATTTAGATATGACTGACATTTGAAACTGATATTTTGGTATTTATTGTGCTTCAGAAGAGCAGAAGATTTAGGTGATGCCGGGCTACTGTCGTATATCTTATATTTGTCCAAAATGCTAATGCGTTATGCATGGATTTAGGCCTAATTTACACATTTTATAAATGATGTTATGCATCAGCATTGGTAGATATGTTCATACAAAATATAATGGGCTTGTGGCTACTTTGTAAGTGCACATTCAAAAAACAGTCCTTCTTATCTAGATGTGGACTATTTCTTCAACCAGTTGGCTACTTGTGTTTTACTTTTTACCAAAATAAAGGCATGTTTCGAAATTCTTTATGCACTAATGGTTCACAGTGTTCCATTTTTTTGATAACGCGTCAGTCTTCCCCCACCTGGCAGTTAAGCCTCTGGCCTCGATGTCTTTATCCTCTCCACTGTGTTAAATAGCAAAATGTTCGACAGAAAATAAACTAGGTCTTGGGCCAGGGCTGAGCTCAGGTTTCCTGCACTGGTCTTGGCTATGGGTCTGCTGCCTGAGCACTGAAACTGGTGTCTGCTCATGCCAATTACGTTATTTTGCCACATTTACCCACCCCCCACACCCCCATCTGGGGAAATCTGATCCAACTATGGTCTGGAAGGCACAATGCAGGCTGAGAGGCTGAATGGAGGGCTGTCTGCGGTCAGCAACCTGCTGTCAGGGTGATGAATTTTCACCCCTGTACGGCCCCCTTAATCATACACCACCCCGCCTCCCCGAGATGGCCAGGCTGTAAGAAGTGTGGGATTCTGAAAGCATCCTAAATAAATATCTTATCTGGCACTTGAACGGGGTTAGCATAGGCAAGAATCCAGAAAGTTTTTGAGGAAAAGACCACAAGGTGGCATGATTTACCCAACTGTTTGATGACCCCACCATTACCTTTAACATGTTGCTTCAACAGCAGCGTAATGCTGAACTGAATTTGATGAACACAAGTGCCACAAGTGTTTAAGGACTTGAAGAATGTTTATATTCAGTAACCCACAAAAAGCTATGTGGAAGCACCAACAGTTTACAGTCCAGATAATGGCATAATAGTAGTGTTATTCTAAGAATTACATGCAGAAATCCTCTGCAAAGGAATTCAGCTCTCACATTTCTTCCCCATCAGACATTAAGTTCGCTAAGTGTCGAAACAACTTATCCAACGAAGAAAACCTGCATTGTATGAGTAGAAGAGTTACGCAGCACTTTTGGCCTGAGATATGCAGCAATTAAATCCCGCTGCCCTTGGAGAGCTCTGTTAATGTAGTGTGAAATTGTATGTTCAGGGCTTCGCAGGGGGGGTTAAGGAAAGTCTCAGCTGACATTGCATTTGTCTTCTGGACATTTATAAATCACCAGAGTAATTATTGAATGGGCACAGAGGGGAAAAAAAACCACCCCCACCTCTGCTGAAACACAGCTGCCTGTTGCTCTTGAGTTGGCCTTGCTCAGCCCAGGCCACAACAATTAAATCCCCATTCCTCTGCAAAGCCCTCCTGCATCTGTTGAGTTTAATTGCGTCCTGATTTTTTTTTTTTTCTCCTTCGCACCCGATGTTGGAGGAGATTCATTACATCCAGTGGCTAGCTGAGATAGGCTGCATGCAGGCCAGATGTGCGAAGGCCCATGTGCATTGTTTGAGCAGCCAAGCTAGGTACTTTCCAGCCCATCTAATCGCCAGAACAGAGTGCCATTGTGTTAAATGGGGCTGTTAATTGCTAACCATAGCTATCGCTCATGTCGCCTTAATGTTTGGAGAGAAGTTCTTGGTGATTGGTAATGTAACAGTGACCTACTACACTACAAACCCCATCAGTTAACCATAAAGTGTGGAAGTGTGTTTTTTTTTTCAGGTGGGGTCAGGTGGTAAGTGTTCATGACCTTTTTTCATTTGGTGTGTATTGGAGCTCTGTTTTTTAAGACCCTCAACCCTTAAATCTTAACAGATAACTTAGCTACTTCCGTTCTCAGTCTACACACCAGCTACTTTAAAACTACTCATGGATCCTCATTACAAGCAGACATTAACTGATATATTGAATTCTTACCCAAATATTAAATACTGAGTAGTTTTTTGTGCTCATCAAAATTTGAGATAGTATGTCATGATTTAGCATTAAAAATAGTGTGTCGTCAGCGTAAAAGACGACATGGAAAACAGCGCATATAAGCGAAGGCTTTTTTTTTTTTTTTTAACAGGGACTTCAACGAGCAGCAACAAAACATCACTTAGCGCTAACTCAACACAAAACCAAGGGAGAGGTAATGCAGGAGGACATTTTAACACGCTGTTAACCCACCCTCCTCTGTCACAATTACTCCAAACAACACAACTACACAAATAACATCAACAACACTAATAACATCAACAACAATAACAGCAGCAGCAGTACCTTTTTAACCCGGGCGTGTGGTGTCTCCCAAGAGCCGGTTTGCATGACCACACATCCGAAGTTCCTCACAGCAGCGCGGCCTGTGGCGGACACCACAATAGTGCTTAAAATTAACAGACCACATTGCTCAATAGTGCAGCTGAAATTTTAATAGGCCTAACTTCTCCCCACATGTGATCAGTTATCAAAACTTTGACATGTTTTATTCAGTTCTGTTAAGAGAAAGACACTGGCACACCCACCAGCTTGGTTATCAATCTCAAAGACAAGATAGGTCATGGTTTACCCAGTTCACTTGGCAGTACTGAGTTCTGCAATAACTGGAAATTGGAATAGCCTGTGATTTTTTTTGCCGTAGCTTATAAAGGTAAGAAATGTAAGAAAAACTACCCTCATCCTTGTGGACCAATCCACAATAAGAAAAAAAAAAGGTCAAATCACCATGTGTGGTTACTAGACATACAGTAGTCAATGTCCCTAACAGAGTGCTTGAGCCTCCATTGTGAAATGCACATACCTAAAAGTGTAAGTGGCAACATTTTCTAGTGGCAATAAACTTCTAGTAAAACCAAAATTTGCACACACAGCCCTGACCTGCCGCGCTGAACGTGATGCGTTATGTTTGCGTTCTTTAACAAAACTGATCATACCTGGCAGTGGGGTTCTTAGAACATATATGCTTGTAGACATGGCAGAAAGATGACCTTCGATGTTAGCACTGCCAATAGTGTTTATTAAACCTCTGATGAACTTTTACCAGACTCATGTTTTCAATCTGTGATGGAACTGAACCAAAGCCTGGCCCTTGTCTATTGTCATTGCCATTCACAGTTAATTTTTAGGCCCACAAAATAAACAGACAAAATGCATATGGTCATTTTGAAGCAGGAAAATGTGAGACAGCTCAGGAATCTAGAATAGGACTCTGTTTTGGCATCGCCCTGCTCTTTATCAGTAGTAACATCTCATTTCTTTTAAATGCTCAAGTGGTTGTATATCTAGTGTTCTTTGAAAACATTTTAAGAATGCTTGAACTCCTCTCTAAAGCCTGTCTCTCAGGGTAACAAAGCTATGTCGAAACCTGCTGTTCCACATGTGAAATCCATGCAAATGACAGTGACGCTCTTCCTAGCCCCCGCCACAGTCATGCGTTTTTCCACAGCCATGCTGGCCATAACATGGTATAGTACAAGAGTTCATGGATACATGTATTTGTAAGAATGTGTTTGTGGGCCAGGGGTCGCTTGGTGATCAACAGCAGGGTCAACTGAGGTTTACACCGAAAGGTTGTGTAAATCCTTTGGGGCTGGTGTGTGGGTAGGGGACGGAGATAGT